TTGAAGGTCATCGCTACTAGGTTGGAGGCCATCGCTACTAGGTTGGAAGCCATCGCTACTAGGTTGGATGCCATCGCTAGTAGGTTGGGGGCCATCGCTACTGGGTTGGAGAGGTTGTAGGTTATCGCTACTAGGTTGGAGGCCATCGCTACTAGGTTGGAGGCCATCGCTACTAGGTTGGAGGCCAACGCTATTAGAATGGAGGCCTTCGCTACTGGGTTGGAGGCCATGGCTACTAGGTTGGAGGTCATAGCTACTAGGTTGGAAGCCATCGCTACTAGGTTGGAGGCCATCGCTAGTAGGTTGGGGGCCATAACTACTAGTAAGTAGAAGCTACTAGGTTGGAGGCCATCGCTACTGGGTTGGAGGCCATCGCTATTAGAATGGAGGCCATCGCTACTGGGTTGGAGGCCATGGCTACTAGGTTGGAGGTCATCGCTACTAGGTTGGAGGCCATCGCTACTAGGTTGGATGCCATCGCTAGTAGGTTGGAGGTCATGCCTAGTTTGAAGAAAAAGCTACTAGGTTGGAGGCCATCGCTATTAGAATGGAGGCCCTATTCGCTACTGGGTTGGAGGCCATGGCTACTAGGTTGGAGGTCCTCGCTACTAGGTTGGAGGCCGTCGCTAGTAGGTTGGAGGTCATGCCTACTAGGTTCGAAGCCATCGCTACTAGGTTGGAGGCCATCGCTACTAGGATCGCTACCAGGTTGGAGGTCATCGGTCATCGCTACTACTGCTACGTTGGAGGCTACTAGGTTCGAGGCCATCGCTAGTAGGTTGGAGGCCATTACTACTAGTAGCTAGAACCTAAAAGCGTGGAGACCATCGCTACTAGGTTGGAGGTCATTGCTACTAGGTTGAAGGCCATCTCTACTAGGTTGGAGGTCATCGCTACTGGTTGGAGACCATCGCTACTAGGTTGGAGACCATCTCTGCTAGGTTGGAGGCCATCGCTACCAGGTTGGAGTCCATCGCTACTAGGTTGGAGGTCAACGCTACTAGGTTGGAGGCCATCGCTACTGGGTTGGAGGCCATCGCTAGTAGATTGCAGGCCATCGCTACTAGGTTGGAGGCCATCGCTAGTAGGTTGGAGGCCATGGCTACTAGGTTGGAGGTCATCGCTACTAGGGTGGAGGCCATTGCTACTGGGTTGGAGGCCATCGCTACTAGGTTGGAGGTCATTGCTAATAGGTTTGAGGCCATCGCTACTAGGTTGGAGGCTACTAAGTTGGACTCCATCGCTAGTAGGTTGGAGGCCATATAGCTACTAGTAGCTAGAAACTACTACAGTAAGTTGGGGGCCATCGCTTCCTAGCTAGGTTGGAGGCCATCCCTAGTGGGTTGGAGGGCATCGCTACTAGGTCGGAGGTCATCGCTACTAGGTTGGAGGCCATCGCTACTAGGTTGGAGGCCATGACTATTAGTAGCTGATAAAACCATCAGCTTTTTGAGGGGATGGGCTGATAAGGATGCTCTAGTAGCCAGTAACTTCCCCCATGTGAGGGCACAAAGCTTCCTGGAATAGCCATCATATGATCGAAACGGTTCTTGGATTTCGAGGTAGATCTAGCGCATACAGCGCCATACATGAGAACTGAACACTGCAAGTATGAAACTGGCCGGGACAATCACTTAACAAGCCCCTGGTCCTTGGAACCAAGAATGGTAAATCTGTCATTAACAAATGCTTCTTCTGCAGAGAAAAGAACCACCCACCCTTTGCACCTCCGTCGTAAGGGTTTCGATCTTCTCATTGGCGATGTCCAACTTGGCTTGGAGCGCTGCCATAACCTGCATGATGGCTCAATCGGGGAAAAATGTAACGTTTGGTACAAGAAGACACAGGAGAATTCATTATCTTGCCCCAGTTGGCCGTCGGCTCTCTTCTCTGTTCATCGTCAAAGGAACCAATGCAAATATGTTGATTCCATGTTCTATTGCCCCCCACCTTTTCTGGAGAGCCGTCCCCACTCTCCAAGAGGAGGTCCTCATCAATATCCCCAGCAGTGCCCATGATGACGACGCACTCCTCGGCCAAAGACTACCCGACAACTTTGGGTATTTCAATGGTGATCTACACAAAAAATAGACACATCCCATGAATCCGTGTCCTCCGTGTCTAATCCAAGGCTCTTTCATCAACTCAGGATGGATGGACATGTAGTAGTACCTGGCGAACTGGGAAGCTCATGGAAGTGCTTTCTCGGAATCTCGTATGAGAAAGCGGCCGCCAAGTTTGTGGTGTCTGGCGACCCCTTTTCTTCAATGTACCTGAATTCTTTGGCAAAAGAAGATGTGTCTTCCTCTGAACGCGCACGCCAGGTCTGCAGCGTGACCAGCCCGGTTCAGCTCTTGAACGACCTCAGCACAATCGTGGAAACATCAACACATAGTCATAGTCACAGTCAATGCGGGACTGGACTGTCGGACTGGACTGATGCATTCTTTCATTTGTGGAAGTGCAAATTGCACAAATACACGTCTGCAGCCAAAACCCAAAACCCCCATATACCTTGAGAATTAGCATTGAGAATGGTCTCCCAGGTTTGGATCTGATCAACTCACTGTTTATCTTGGCATCAGGAGCATTATGTAACATTGTCAACCGACCATTCCACATATTCCACACACCTTAATACCCTCCCAAAACAATATGGCACCTATCTGATTGATCATGGCCCATGTGTAAGCTACTCAGGTACCCTGAGGATAGGTATCCAACCGCCCGTCTGCTGGTCCAGTGGGCTGTGATCAAATGGCTCTTCAGCCGGTCGATGTTCTTCCGCGCCTGGCCACAGAGCAGCTAATAAGGCCAATATGGTAATCCATGGTATCATAGTACAGTATCAATTGTACTCTTGATGCCACAATAATTCTGAGAAAGTGCATCGGAATATGGTCTTTTAGAAGCTTGGGCAGTCTGGGGAAGTCTCAGGAAGGAAGTCGGAGGCCTTTGGTTTCAAGGCCAGCATCTCGGCATCCTCCTCTTCTTCACCCTCCTCCAGAACATCCTTGGTATCTGATAATGAGGCTGACAGCAGAGGCATCAACACGCGATTCATTCCAAACCATGCATCACACATTCATACTTTGCTGAAAAAAAGATAAAGAAAAAAAAACAAACAAATTAAACTGTTGGAAACGGAGGTGTTGATTGTATCCAATTGTATCCAATTGTCCCCTAACTGTTTCTCCACCGCATCGACAACCACCTGTGACTTGAGGAGATTGAAATGGACGCCAGTGTAAACTGCTCAGTGTAAACTGCTTAACATGCAATCGGCCGTTGATGCCTAGAAACAATTGGCTCGTCTCCCAAGTACTCGTGCCAGTTCCATGGGTCGGAGTGGCGCTCCTTCAACACCTCAAGGAAACAAAAAGAAATTGGTCTTTGATGGTCTTTGGATTTGCTCCAGTGAGTGTGTGTGTGTACCCCTTGGAATCACAGGGAACCCTTGGGTTTGGAGCAGGGGACTAGGCCAGATACATCGTTGCCTGGTCAATGAAGCTGGCGATGTATCTGAGGATATGGAAATGGGACGCCATTTCCACGTACCTGCTCCACTATTGAGGAAAACACGAGGAAATGGGTTTTCCTCTAGTCTACTCTATAGGTTTGCAGGTAGGCCCCCCAACCTTGTAACCAGGATCTTTAACCCGAACTTTGGCCTCTAGAATTGGCCCCCAACCTTGGCTGTCTTGTGCGTCTTGTGTTTCTTGTGTTTCTGGTAACCTGGTAGCACTGGCCTCCAACTTGGTACCCTAGCCTCCAACCCACTAGCGACGACCTCTAATTTTGCTTCTTGCTGTCACTTTGTTTTGCTTTGGTTTGCTTGTGTCTACTACCTACCGCCTACTAGCGACGGCCTCCAACCTTAGGAGTCGGCCCCAACGGCCTTGCGATGGCCTCCAACACAAAAGCGATGGCCTGTA